TATGTATGTATGTACGTATGTATGTATGTATGTATGTATGTATGTATGTATGTATGTATGTATGTATGTATGTATGTATGTATGTATGTATGTATGTATGTATCTATGTATCTATGTATCTATGTATGTATGTATGTATGTATGTATGTATGTATGTATGTATGTATGTATGTATGTATGTATGTATGTATGTATGTATGCATACGTGTATGTTGTGTAATCTCACAATTTTGCCTACAAAATGTAAATATTTATGGCAAATTGTAGATTTTTCGAATTGAATTACCAGGCGATCATAATCAGCAGCAAGTTGCTACCGAAAACCAAACGATCTTTGGTCACCTTCTGGAATTCCTGTTCGCCTGGTAATTTAAACCGAAAAATCTCACAAGTTTGCCTGCAAAATGTTAATTTTTTTTATGTATGTATGTATGTATGTATGTATGTATGTATATATATATATATATGTATGTATGTATGTATGTATGTATGTATGTATGTATGTATATATATATATATATATGTATGTATGTATGTATGTATATATATATATGTGTATGTATGTATGTATGTATGTATGTATGTACATGTGTATGTTGTGTAATCTCACAATTTTGTCTACAAAATGTAAATATTTATGGCAAATTGTAGATTTTTCGAATTGAATTACCAGGCGATCATAATCAGCAGCAAGTTGCTACCGAAAACCAAACAATCTTTGGTCACCTTCTGGAATTCTCGTTCGCCTGGTAATTCAAACCGAAAAATCTTACAATTTTGCCTGCAAAATGTTAATTTCTTTGGCAAATTGTAGATTTTTCGGATTGAATTACCAGGCGATCATAATCAGCAGCAAGTTACTACCGAAAACCAAACGATCGTTGGTCACCTTCTGGAATTCCTGTTCGCCTGGTAATTTAAACCGAAAAATCTTTCAATTTTGCCCACAAAGTGTAAATATTTTTTTTGCAAATTGTAGATTTTTCGTGTCCATAGCCCTATAATTCCCAACTGGTTCTCGTGAGGGCTGTAAGGCATGTCTTCTAATTTAGAGTCACAAAATATTCCAAGTCATCTTTCTTACCGGTCGAGCAGTGAATGTAGTGTATGTGTAGTAGTGTATGCGTTCTTGATTACTTTCAAGATCACATTGGCATCCCTCTTGAACAAATAACCAGGCAAGTATTATTTATACAAGTGTTTGAAATTATGATCTCATAATAATTCAAACCGAAAAATCTCACAATTTTGCCTGCAAAATGTTAATTTTTTGGTCGAATTGTAGATTTTTCGGATTTAATTACCAGGCGATCATAATCAGCAGCAAGTTGCTACCGAAAACCAAACGATCTTTGGTCACCTTTTGGAATTCCTGTTCGCCTGGTAATTTAAACCGAAAAATCTCACAAGTTTGCCTGCAAAATGTTAATTTTTTGGTCGAATTGTAGATTTTTCGGATTTAATTACCAGGCGATCATAATCAGCAGCAAGTTGCTACCGAAAACCAAACGATCGTTGGTCACCTTCTGGAATTCTTGTTCGCCTGGTAATTCAAACCGAAAAATCTTTCAATTTTGCCCACAAAGTGTAAATATTTATGGCAAATTGTAGATTTTTCGTGTCCTATAGCCCTATAATTCCCAACTAGTTCTAGTGAGGACAGTAAGGCATGTCTTCTAATTTAGAGTCCCAAATTATTACAAGTAATCTTTCTTACCGGTCGAGCAGTGAGTGTAGTGTATGTGTAGTAGGGTTGTTGATAATATATCAAAATATCAATTTGATTTGCATATTATTTTATATAAATATTTTTTTTTGACATTTTATATTTATATCGTGATATTGTTTTTGCCCAAATGTTGATATTGCGATATTTTTTTGATATTTTTCCTTCGGTCACTCTGATTTCCAAAGCGATACCGGGTAAAAGTGATCGTGTTAAAATGACCATAAGGTACCTGATCACTCCGGGTAGCTCAGTGCCTGCAGAGCGGTTGGCGTCCGCTATAAAATGTGTAGTCTGTGACGCACGAAGCCGAATGACTGACACACATATAACACAACGCTTCTTCCTAAAATCACTTAACTCGAAGTATTGGAAATAAGTAGTATTAATTTATATAAACACAATCTGTATTATTATCTGTATTAGATATTGAATAACCAGTTAAATGGGAAACATGAAGTTAATAAGAAACATTTATATTTTTATTTTGGGGAAAAAACCAATTTTATTTAAATAAAAAATTTTTTTATTTTTTTTGATAAAAAAATATCATTGATACGATATTTCTTTAATATCACGATATCCCTAATATTAATTGAAAGAAACACAAATACGGACACGCTGCAATACGGCGCCTATCGATAACGGTCCACATTTGCGCGGCGGTACTTATCGAATTCAAATTTTATAAGTATTGTATTGCTCACCTGTCGCCCGCTTCTGGGCGTGGCATCTTGCTTTATTAGTGATCAAAGAAAACGTTAAATTTACGGGCCTTCCAAAATATACACAACAAACAATAAAACAACTGGCACCAAGCACTTATCTGTTAAATCTGTGCTTTGACACTAAAACGCGGTTGGCATTATCAATGTATACAAATTTGATTTTTTGTAGTAAAAATTCGTATATACAATGGGGCAGGCAAGAATATATAAAACTCTGAGGCTACGCCGTTTATAAAAATTGAGCTTAAGCTTCAGGGTTTCAGAAGTTCCACATCTGAGTGAGGAACGGCCGGATCCATGCCAAAATTCATCTTCATAATGTCGCAGAACACGGACAGGAATATGAATGCATCTATAAAGTGGTTGATGGCGAAGCCCCGCTTTCGATCCTTAGTATTATGCATATTGATAAGGGACTGAATGACCAGCAAAAGTCCAGCAGCCACCTGTTTGCGAAGGTAAGAGGATCAATACATTCATTTATTTCACTTTACAACTTAAGTTTGCATTAGCCTTAAACTACATATATTGGTATAAGTTATAAGTGTAAATCGTTGGATTTCTATCGTAAATCGTAGTTTCTAGGGTGTCTTTTCATGCTGATCGAGGAGTCGGAGCGGCTGCGACGAGTACTCTATGCCGAAACCGGATATGATAACGTTCACCACGGATATTATGAACACGACCACCAAAATGACATCGTTCAGGATCACCGCTGCCGTCTGATCCTGCTGCCTGTTTATGTTGAGACTGCCGATGACCACAAACAGAATGCCCACCAAAAGCTGTCGAAATGTACGGGGAATGCATTAAATCCAAAAGCGAAAGACGATCCCTCTAGGACCCTTCTAATCCCACCCTCTAGTCCTAGTTGTTCAGAAAGTCGCCTTGTGGCGGGGGCAGTCGACTGTCAAAGGCCGAGATAAACAGATTTATCATGGTCGTGAAAAAGGCGAAGCCCGTGCGCACATGGTTAATGATATTGGCCGACTGGTGAAACTCCGGCTGGTGCAGCCGGCAATCCCGCAGCAAGCTCAGGGACAAGCTCAGCACGCCCGACAGGACCTACACAGAGAAAAACATAGTCATTTCAGTTCCATGTTGTCATGGGAATCAAACCAATTCCTGCTGAGACACTCAAAATGTGATGGATTTCATAATGATACTCATTTATGTTTTTCTCTGTGCCTGACACTTAGAGAATAGGGATCTACAGTATTTGTTTGCCTACCTGCATTACTATGGATAGGCTGATTAGGATCAGCATCAGCTTGTAGAACTGGTGCTGTTCGCCGACTTGGAGGATATACTTCAGCTGGGAGGCATTGGCGGTCAGCAGGGCGATGTCCAACATGCCCTGGGCGATCGTCTTCTTGGTGGCATACCTGTTGGCATCCATTGCCTTCATCTAAAACACAAGGGATATACATGAGTACTTGAGCTCAGGACACGAAATCGTCAAAACCGAAGGATACATTTTTGAGGAAAGTGGTCATGGTGGCGGTGCAACAGTCAGGTTGAAAGTGAATGAATCTGAAGGTTCGATTTAAAAGTAGTTCCTTATCTATTGCCATTTGTGTCAGATCTTGTGCCGATAAGAAAACAGAACACCACTGCTCCAAGTAATGAAAAAAAGCGTACAAATAGCTTACATTGGGGGCAAGGGTTACAAATACAAATGTGCACAATAAGAGGAGAGAATAGGATCAAACACCAATTTAGTACCTGCCAAGCATTTTTTACCGGCTTCTGTAAGGAAACAAAAGATTCAGCCATACTGCAAGGATAATTACTATAAAAGGATGCATGATGTGCCGTGAAATTCCCATAACAATTACAAAATCAATAGGAGGACAAACAACCGGGTGGACGTGAAATGCTTTTCGCACAGCTCATCAGAGCTTTAAGGTGCATAAGGCAAACGAGTCGGGCACATATCATTTTCGAATTGCACGAACAGCCGGAACAAAGACAACAACAGCGGCAATTACCCGGACTGGCAATTACGGATGGGATAGGATGGAAATGGGGACATGGTGAGGTGTCTCATTCGCGCGAATAAATAAATAATTCAAGACCAGGAATATATGGTTAAGATCAAGGTCGGTGCGGTGGGTGCTCTGAATATGAATACCACTGAAGTTGGAATCTGGATTTTATATATGTATTTTGACTTACCTCATTTTCGTTAACCCGCTCCAAACCTGATGCCATTATGAATGAATCTTTGGTTTTGTTTTCAATTGAAGCTTTGCTTTTCGCCACACACCACTGCACTTTGGATTAGTTTTCAGCCCAGACAAAAGAACTCACGAAAACATTCAATTCCAGTTGCTTCGCTTTTCGTTGTCTCCTCAAATTGGCAACTAATTGTTGGTGTTTGGAGCGGCGTTGTCGTGGAGACGGTTTCCGACACAACCAAGCGATTTAACAACTGACGTCGAACTGAATTCAGAAATCCAGCCCAGAGAGCACTACCCGATTCGTAGACTTGGCCAGAAAGAGAGTGCTCCAAGCTGGAAAGAGTGTTTTTGAGTATCCGTGACTAATGGCAGGGGATGAAAATTTATTTATTAAATTCTGCAAGTTCTGTATGGCGCACAGGCTACATCCTTTTATATGTCTTCAATGATATTATGATTTTGTTCTGTATAATATATATTCTGTACCTTTTCTTATTTTGGTTTGTATCAGCCTGCTTACACGTAGGCTTGGAGTGATCTATTTAAGTTTTTAACAGCAGTACAATTTACACATAGCTTTGGTTCGCAGTTAAAAGAAAGAAATTTAAATATATTTTGTTGGCAGACCTTTTTGAAGAAGAATCATGGAATTTCCCATACCAGAGGCGCAGTACTGGGACGTTTCGAAGAAGTCCCAGAAAGATCGCCAGATGATTCGTAAATTCGTGCCCGAGGCTGTCGACCTCGCCACCATAAGTCGTGCGGAGATCTACAGGATTGACACCTTCTATTTGGAGTGCCAGAAGTACCGGGACCATTATCGTGACCCCTACGGCAAGGTGCACTGTCCGGCATTCTTCCACTTACACAAGGGCAAGTGCGGAATCAAGCTGGACCAGAGCGTAATCAAGATGACACAGGCGATTGCTGGAAATGTGGACCGACAGCCCATAGTGTTTCCCCTCATTCCAAATAAGAGCATGTTTTTAGGGGGTAGCATTCCAATGGGCTCACAAACAGCCCAGGTTGGCGTCACCAGCTATCTCAGATGAAGAAACTCGGTAGACTTTTTTACAGCATTAAAGCGCAAGTACGTGCTAATGTTACTGCGCAAGAGTACAAAAGTGTTTCGAATAAGAAGATATTACTATCTGCCAAATATACAATAGCTTGTTGCAATTACTTGATTTATTTTTATGGGTTAGCCTGGGAAATAATCATCCGCATGTGAAATATAAATTTTAGTACTTTATTTTCTAGGCTGGGAAAGCAGTTTCAATAAATAGCATTTTAAATACTTTGCGCCCTTGATGCGTAAAACATACACATTAGTTTTCAATTTCTGGGGTACTTGATGTTAGCTGACACAAGGATTTGATATACATTTTAATTAGCCTTTTACAAATGGCGTTTAAGCTAATAAACACACTAAAAAGTCTTTCTGTGCACGGCTTTCTGTCCTTCCTCCTCGTATTCCCGCTTGGAGATCCACATTTTCTTGAAAGTATCGAGCGAAGCTAAAATCGATCCACCCATCCATGTGGAGTATAGACGTTCCTGAGGCGCGGCGATCTGTAATTCGTGAGTTTTAGAACTGTGACAATCCACTATCTTTTGAAAAAAAAACAATTACCCTAATCTTGAGATCCTTAGCCGAGTGTTTCTTCAGTTCGGACAACAGACGGTCGCCGAATCCCTTGAAGAGCGTGGATCCGCCGGAAAGCACGATGTTCTGGTAGAGCATTTTCCTGAGATCCATATCTGACTTTTCGATGGAGTACATCAGGACGTCGTGAATGCCCTCACACTCCTCGCCCAGCAGATCGGGCCGGAAGAGCACCTCCGGCGCCCTAAAGCGTGCAGGTCCAATCTCGAAGGTCTTGCCGTCGGGCAGCTTGTAGGCAAACTTCTCGGTCTCCACGGTCTCCTCCTTCTGCGGATTGGTGGCCAGATAGCAGACCTTCTCCTTGATGGAGCGCACAATCTCAAATTCGGCAGTCGACCGGAAGTTGAAGCCCTCCCGGCGGATGAGTGTCTTCAGGTAGCGCGTAACATCGCGCCCGGCGATGTCCACGCGCATAATACTGTGAGGCATGGCGAATCCCTCGTAGATAGGAACCGCATGCGTCACACCGTCACCGGAGTCTAGCACTACGCCTGTCACACGTCCGGTGGCGTAGCTGCAAGAGTATGGTTAGATGAAATCGATAGGGGCAGTTCGGGGGATTGCTATGCTTACAGACTGAGCACCGCCTGCATGGACACAAAAAGCGCAGGTGCATTGATGCCTTCAAAGAAGTACTCGGCTGCCTTTTCTCGGTTGCGGCGCGGGTTAAGCGGGGCCTCGGTCAGGAGCACGGGATGATCCTCCGTGAAGGTGGCCAGTTGTTCCTGGTTATTACCATTTAAAACGATTAGTAAGGATAATGGAACAGCTTTACACACTTTACTTTGCTGTAAATGTAGCTCCATATCCGCTCCATGTCATTCCAATCGGTGACAATGCCGTGCTCCATGGGGTACCGAATGCTGAGCAGGCCACGGTGCTCTTCCGCCTTGGGTCCAACGAATATGTCGCCCTCCAGCGCACCAGCCATCACTCGGACATGCTTGGGCCGGCCAATGCTGCAGGAGAAGGCATTAGTTCGAGGGGCTTAAGGTTCGTGAGTGGTTCACAACACTTACTAATTGGGAAACCTGCATTTTGGAATGTGCTCACCAGCAAAGCCGGCTTTGATCACACCGGAGCCCTGTAAAAAGTGATGTGAAATACATTTAGATAGCTGCGTCAACTTATTTCATTACAAATTTAACGTGCAAACAGAGGGAAATCTGAATTGTCGACATGGAATCCTTTAGTGTGCCGGAGGTGGACATGATGACCGTGTCAAAGAACTCGCAATACGAGCGGGAGTCGCTCCTAAAGTTCGCCCCGCCAGTTGGGCTGACCAACATCAGCTACGGCAGCATGTACAAGGTGGACTCTTTCTATTTGGAGTGCCAAAAGTATCGGGATCAATTCCGCGATCCCTACAATAAGCTATTGCGCCCCAAGCTGTTCAGCACATACAGGGGCAAGTGTGGCGTTAAGATAAACCCCGAACTGGAGCGTTTGAAGCGACCTGCTGCCTCCCATGTGGAGTCCATTCCAGTGGTGTATCCCATAGAGTACGGCCGGCAAATGGACTTCGACAGAGGCTTCCAGATGGAGGGACGCAACAGCAGGGACTCGCCCACCTCCCGTAGGTATCCGTGTGTGCGTGTGTTGGGCAGGTAAAGGGATTCCATGCACACACTAAAAACCAAATTCCCCGTTTCCATTGGGTTCACTTCCAAATTGAACCATCCCTGGCGTTTGCGGAGTTCTTCTTTCTGGGATTAGTCATGTTGGCCATTTGAAGACGGCTTGAAAAGCTCACTGACAAAGGGACGGGCGGTAGGTGATGTCACTGTTTGCTGGCTAAAACTCTGGGAACCCGAGTTCTGGACAAAGATGCCCGGATTTAGTAGACCCCACTTCAACTTACGTTATCTATGACGACGGGCTGGTTGACGACGACATCATAAGGCTCCATTTTGTGCGTTTATCAAAATTTGCAAATTTTCTATTAAATAGTTGGTCAACGGGGTGACCGTAGGTGGCTTGCAGAAATAAACAGCATGTAAAAATATACCAAGGCAAATACTCAACATTTGACATGGTGGTGGTTTTCAAAAATTTGGTAATATACTTTTTTTTACTTTTATTTACCATTTTTCGAATTAGCAGAAAATGAATAAGAAATTTCATTTATAATTTAATTTTTGATAATAAAGGATAATTCTTAAAACGAAAATCATGTAAGCTACAATGTAAAATCAGAACTTTACATGCCGGTATATTCATGTGTGGTATATTTTAGCGGTGGTATTCCGCAATGGTCTAACTGAGGTCATACTGATCACACTGGATGAAATGGCCGAGGCGAATTTGGATAAAAAACCGGAGGTGAAGCCTCCGCCGGGCCTTAAGGCTATCATAGACCACCTAGGGCAGGTGTACCCCAACCAGCCCAACCCGCTACAGGTGACCACACTGCTCAAGTACTGGCTGGGCGGGCAGGATCCGTTGGACTACATTAGCATGTACAACTATCCTGGAGATGTGGACAGGAACATACCGCCGCATTGGCACTACATCAGTTTCGGACTCAGCGACCTTCACGGCGACGAGCGAGTTCACTTGCGCGAGGAGGGCGTCACTCGGTCGGGAATGGGATTCGAGCTGACCTTTCGTCTGGCCAAGACGGAAGTGGAGCTAAAGCAGCAGATTGAGAGCCCAGAGAAGCCCCAAAGACCGCCAACCTGGCCGGCGAACCTGTTGCAAGCCATCGGACGATACTGTTTTCAAACAGGCAACGGGCTGTGCTTCGGGGACAACATCCCGTGGCGCAAGAGCCTGGACGGCGGTACCACCTCCAAGCTACAAAGCCTGCTCGTCGCCCAGGACCCGCAGTTGGGCTGCATCGACACTCCCACGGGCACTGTGGACTTCTGCCAAATCGTCGGCGTCTTTGAGGATGAACTTGAGCAGGCATCGCGTTGGAATGGTCGCGGCGTGCTTAACTTCCTTCGCCAAGATATGCAAACTGGCGGAGACTGGCTCGTCACTAACATGGATCGCCCGACGAGCGTATTCGAGCTGTTTCCCGAGACTCTCCTTAACTTGCAGGACGACCTGGAAAAGCAAGGTTCCGATCTGGCCGGCGTTAACGCAGATTTTACGTTCCGTGAGCTGAAACCTACCAAGGAGGTAAAAGAAGAGGTGGACTTCCAGGCGCTAAGCGAGAAGTGCGCCAACGACGAAAACAACCGGCAAATGACGGAGACGCAAATGAAGCGTGAGGAACCGAGCTTTCCACAGTCCATGTCGATGAGCAGCAATTCGCTGCACAAGTCCTGTCCCCTGGACTTTCAGGCGCAGGCACCAAACTGTATTTCACTGGACGGCATTGAAATTACCCTCGCACCTGGTGTGGCCAAGTACCTGCTACTGGCCATCAAGGATCGCATCCGACATGGGCGGCACTTTACCTTCAAGGCTCAGCACCTAGCGCTAACGTTGGTGGCAGAATCTGTGACCGGCTCGGCTGTCACAGTGAACGAACCCTACGGCGTGCTGGGTTACTGGATTCAGGTACTAGTACCGGACGAACTGGTGCCGCGCCTGTTGGAAGACTTTCGCAGCGCGGGCTTAGACGATAAATGCGAGCCCAAGGAGCGGTTGGAGCTCGCGTGGCCCGACAAGAATCTGAAGCTGATCATCGACCAGCCGGAACCTGTGCTGCCCAATGTTCTGCCTATGTCCCTCGACGGTGCTCCTTTGAAAATGTGACGGTGCCAAGTTCTTAGCTAGTAGTTATTTAAATTAATCGAATTGAATCTTCCACTAACAAGTAAGTTTTACATTTATACTCTAATCTCATCTAACACAATGCACGTGGCCTTTGCTCCTTTGCCGGAGTCCAGTCAAAATATACAAAAACATACCCGAAACCACTCGACGGGCCTTTGATCGGAATATGAAAAGAGGAAGCGCCGGCGCCAGGAGCGAACAATTCGCCGGATGAGTTGAGTTGGGGTCAGGCTGTTGAGCAGTGGCACAATTCTTCTTTGGTGGCTGCGGCGGATATGGCCACTTGCCGGCAGTGGAAGTCGTCGCCACCAACTAAACCACCAATTGATGGTACTGCGCAGTGGACAGTGGAATGCTTCAGTTTCTAATTCTGGGAATTGATCAATTAGAAGAGCATTCAATTCGAGCACAAAATCCCGCCCCTGAACATGTGATTGTGCGCGGAACTGGACCTGGAGGAGCTGCATCATCCGCCTGGCTGGGAATCTCTTGCCGCACCATTTGTTTGTGCGTTGCCTAGGTGAATTTTTGTTTACCGCAGAGAACAGCGACCGTCGTGGTTCACGCTCTGCTTTTCTGATTAGTCGCCCCTCAAGTGAGCGAGCGATTTTTTGCAAAAACGGCTCGTGGAAAATAATTCAGTTTTCTTCATTCCGCCGCCGACGACGCAAGCGTTCGGTTGTGTGCTTGCTCGAAAGTTTTCCACCGACCACTCAACACTCTGGACTCGCGCTCGAGTCGGATTCGTCGGATTCCCAGAGTCTTCAAGTGAATCGCACGCGAATTCAGCGACTGGAGTTCCTGCTCACAAGTATGTAGAGGAGGCTTCAAGAAGTCGACTTGGAGTTCGCCCAAGAACCGTCGGTTGCATAAGGGCCAACCCATCGACTGGTGACCTTCGATTTAGGCAGTGACCCCCCTAGGGATTGGGCACCGCATTGTCATAAAGCGGGCACGTGCACTACGTTGATAGCGCGAACTTCTGAGATAGCCGCCAAAAACGAAAGCGGTTTCAATTGTATTTCTTTATTTTTCTATAATTCTGGCGAGCGGCTCGCGTTACATTGACTTTTCGCTGTGTTGGTGCGGTTTTTCGGCTGCCCCGGGGCGGGAAAAAGAAACGTTTGCAGAACGGAACGCTGCAGTGAACCGTAGACCCAAAGTGCACTCGACAAGGGCATGCATAATCGAAAAATGCGACGAATTTCAGTTATCGCTTGTAATGCAATCTGTGTTCTGCGCAGCTTTAAAAGTGTATTACAATGTTGCTGACCAGATACTAAGAAGGGAAATTGGACTCGGAATCGAGCATGTTTCCACGATAGCTCGGTGTTCGTAACCTGAAAGCTATGTAGCTATGATATTTTCTTTGGATATTAATTTGAACCTGTTAGCTCATGAAACCATATATTGTTATGGTTCTTCGTTTACTGAGCTTGCAATTTAATCCAATTTAAATTTTTAGTTTGCTAACTATGGTGCTTATAATGTGACTAGAAGTGTATAGAACAAAAGGGTAAATTACTTAAAGATGCATCTTAACTTATTTGAAATATTTCAAGCCCAAATCATTATAATTCCCTCAGCTTATCTCTAGATAGACCTCTAGGCAGATCTTCCCTAGTAACTCTCCCTCAAGATCTTGCACTTCGTGCCTTTGTCTCCCATTTAGTTGGGCTCTGGATCCCCTAGACAATGTAAACTGCATTTTCATTTGCCGGAGGTGCAAATAGCGATAAACGTGTCCAAATATTTGGCCAGCCAATTCTGTCAGTCTGCGATTATTTTCCGGGATGGCGAAACGCGAGTGGCATTTCGGCTGGCGGTAGTCAACAGCATATTTGGGTGCAATGTGGCTGACTGATTACGGAGTGCACTCCACAGATCTATTCCTCTCAAACACAATGTATATTTGCAGGCAGCACTCCGAACCCAATCGTAGCTATCAGCAGCCATGGCTGAGAATGAGCCGCTGAACGACCTGCAGAGCCAGGTGAATGGTCGCATCCTGCCCGCCAATGGACACACTGCACCTGCGACCAACGGCCTGGTGCATGCGAATGGCAAGGATGCGTTGAAGCCGCCTGCGTCGGCTCAGAACGGGAACGCGAACGGGACACACATCGAGGCGCCCTGCTGCCGGGACATACATGGCAAGGAGCCACCGGACGGAGGAGCCCGCGCCTGGCTGGTCATGGTGAGCGCCTTCCTCTGCAACGGCATCATCTTCGGGTTCATCAACACCTACGGCGTGATCCATTCGCTGCTGACGGGTAGGCTCACAAAGCTCGGCGATCCGGAGGCATCCAGCAAAGCGGGTAAGTGTGCCACGGGTGATGGGTATGGGGATGTTTCCCCATCCCCGAATGCGAAAGCAATTTGTCCATAATCCCTTCAGCCCCTGGCGAATGAATTCAGAATTTATGGACGGCTGCTGCCGGCGTTGATTGTAATTATGCAGGCATGGCAAATGAGATTAAATGGGAACTGGGCAGTTGTTTTTGCGACTATTATCTATTTTGCACGGACCTCCTTTGCAACCTCTAATGAACAAATCATATTTTATGGCCTTTTATTGCGGACCAGAGGTCCTCAAACTTTGATTCGAAAAAGCCTACAAGTTCTGACTTGCATTCCATAGCATCCACAGTCATAGATTGTGCTATCACCACTTGGAAATACTTTGATAATATAAAATAAGATACATATTTCATATTTCCGAATTGAAATTTGATAAGGTGTTGACGCACTTAGCATTCAGCTTTACTTTGCCCATTTTTATTTACTTTTATTAATATTTATTTCGAATCTAACGCTCATTGGCGTCTCCCATCCGTCTCTTGGGTTCAATAAAACGTTGTAGTACGTAGTACGAAGTGGCGATATAGGAATCCAACGTACCGACGTCAAGTGAATTAAATTGCTAAAAGTTGATTGGATCACAAAGCATTATTCAACAGACTTCGAGTGCGAAGAGCACGAAGACAGCGACGTCGTGATTCGCGGGAGTCGCATAGAGTTGGAGCGGAAAATTCGGAGGACGGAGGGTTCTCCGCCAGAAGTGCATAATTTTTTGGCAGCTCAGCTGGAGCACGGAAAATAGCCATCCCTAACCAGAAACAACTGCTTCTCCGAGCAGAGTTCACTGCATTTGTCAAGGTTTTGCTGCTTGGCCTGCATTACGCATACGCGGCGTTGGACGGCAAAACATTGGGGGCACGGCCGGCGCTTTTAAGACGAGCTGGGCGTGTTGGCCAAGCTGGCCGGCAGAAGACGAATGCCACCCGCCAGTGACCCAGTTACTTGGTCGGCTGACGGCGCTGCGACGGGGAAGACCCTCAACTGCTCCGCCTGACAGCGATCCTCCTCCAAACGGCAGCTAGATGCATTCATCTGGGGCTAAGGCTAGAGCTAAGCTAAGACTGGCTGCCAGTTCAGTTCCGCAATATGATTAAAACCTGACGTAATCCGAACCCGAGCCCGAGCCCGAGCTCTTGTGTGCCATATTTTGCCCCTCCACCCACTTTTATCGCGGTGTCGATTCGTCAATTAATTGTCAGCCTCTGTCAATTACACACCTCCATAGGCACATCAGCGCGACTTAGTGGAGCTTAATAGGCGCTTGTCGGCCCATTGGTTCATCCGTGTGGATCGGAGGTCAAGATCAATCAACCAATCGAGTGCCAATCTTGGTGCTACCCCTTGGTGCAATCGCCCGGCAGATTGCGTCAGATATTGCATGAAAACGCATCGGGTTGCCGTCTAACTATGAATATGAGGCGTACTATAAATATGTCGATCTATTTTCGCCAGACGCCGCAGGAACCATGTAACCCGGCAGATTCCCCTTCCGTTCGCATTCCTTTTTAGATTTTTGGCACCGGCCATTCGGCTATTATCTAATGACTCTCCTCGCCATTGACTGGCTGTGCAGAGCGAGAGAATCGTCGCCGTCTCTATCTGTGGCATTGACATTGCTCTGGCTGGCTCTGGCTGGCTCTTGCCGAGATTGCGGCAGATTCATTCTGCGCATGTGGGCGAGAGTTACGTGCCATCTCACGGCCCCATTCCTCAGTGGGACGTGTCTCAGCGAACGGTCAATAGATATCCATGCGGCACCCGGAGTGGGTCAAGTTCTATTTTGGGTTAATGCGCTGCACTTTCTGTTCTATTTCTCCCATATACTCGTATTATTTGTGAGATTTAAGATATTTGAATAGTGTATACATATTGTATCTCAAAGTATTTTGAACGACTTTGGCAAACGTGATTTAAATGAATTAAACATATTTTCGGACTTAAAGTCAAGGGAGGTTAGCTTATGAATGGTGCGCATTGCCATTAAAAAGCCATTTCTAGCACTTCAGAACGTAGATTGTGACTACGAATTGGAGGGGACACGCGAACAGAATCGAGTGCTTATCTCTAGTTCCGGCGCACGATAGTATTTGAAATTCGTCGCGATTGGATCTACAAATCCGCTTCGAAGGGTCATCGACTTATAATTGCGTGCTATAAAAATAATCTGAATAGTTACGCATAAAGCAGCAATGGCTTTGGAGCGCTACCTGCTCCGGTCCACTGTCCATGTCCCAGACAATGGTCCAATGGCGCTGGAGAGGCTGCAGCTGCACATCTGCCAGAGAAGCGCACCTTATCACAGCATTTGATCATGCTCGCAGGCGGGGAACAAAGAATTAACCCAATTCTGTCAGTCGGACATCAATTTGAAGTGCCAAAGTGGAACAAGCGAAAGTGTTTACGCAACGAAAACAGTTGCACTTCCCCACTTCTGTTTGCAGAGTTCAGCGGAAAATTATTGACGACGAAAGTCGAATCTTTGAGCGGCGTGCGACAAGATGCATTTGGTCCTCGATCCCGCCAACCGCCGGCGGATCGGGTTTCCAGTCGGGCATCCACCTGGAAGTTGCAATGAAACACCTGGGACTGCGGCCAATATCCAGACATGGGTTGCATGGCCGCACTTCATAATCGACCGCAAGTGCGTGAGATTCGATTTGTCAATTGAAATTGGTCCGAATGAGTCGAGCAGACAGTTGGTCAGCATGTTTGGGACTCGACAGTTGCCTTATCACGCCCACAGCAAATAATTGATCAGGAAATCATTAAAAGATAAAATAAATATAAATATTCTGGACCTACACAAATATAAACATTTCTTTCGCCAACACTTCTTTAGATAAGCAAGAAAAGTAAATTCTTTTTGACTCGAGAGATGGCAAATCGTCCTCATTGCAGCACATATATTCAAATATTAATCTACATATTTTTTATATTCTTTACTTAAGATGAAGGTATTTTAAATATCAACAGCGATTTAAAATGATGTCGAAATTGAGCAATATTTAAGGAAGCACACCTGGATTTCACATAGCTTCTTGATTTCACACAGATTACTTTATCTGATATCTAAAATACTTTTATACGTGCGCAGAAATTGAATCATTGGGGAAATATTATTTATTCGTTGCATTCCCCATTTTTTTTCAGCTCTGATTGGAGCCCTGGCCATCGGCACCACATTCCTCTTCTCCACAATGGCTGGCTGCCTGACCGACAAGATTGGACTGAGGCTGACCACATTCGCCGGCGGAGTCCTCTCTGCAGGAGGACTGCTGCTGTCCTCCTTCTGCACGGAGAACATCGGCGCCCTGTACTTCACCTACGGGATCATGTTTGGCCTGGGCGCCGCCCTGGCCTACACGCCCACACTGGCCATCCTGGGCCATTACTTCAAGCGCTACCTGGGCAAGGTGAGTGGCTTCGTGACCGCCGGCTCCAGCGTTTTCACTGTGATACTGCCGCCCTGTCTGGACAAGCTCCTGGGCAGCTATGGTCTCGAGGGTACCCTGCGGGTAAGTGGTAGATGTATGTTCTCTACTTGCTAATATATTGATGGCTTTTTTTGATTTTGCAGATAATGAGCCTCGTTTCCGCCTTCATTATACTCTGCTCCTTCGTGTACAAGCCACTGCATCCGCCACCGGAGCCGCCAAAGAAGAAGCCCGGCAGGTCGCGCATCAATCTCTTCATGCGCTCCATAATCAACGTGGAGATCTGGAAGCGCAAACGCTTCGTCATCTGGGCTCTTTGTGTGCCGCTCGCCCTGTTCGGCTACTTCGTGCCCTATGTGCACATGATGCAGTTCGTGAAAACCACATTTCCCGGCGAGGATGTCAACCTGCCGGTCATGTGCATCGGCATAACCTCCGGCATCGGGCGTCTGATTTTCGGCGTCATTGCTGATATGCCGGGTGTAAATCGCATGTACCTGCAACAGCTGTCCTTGGTGTCCATTGGCCTGGTCACCTTGCTGCTACCGCTCACCAACTCGTATGTTACCCTCGTCTCCTTCACCCTGGTTATGGGGCTCTTTGACGGCTGCTTCATTTCTCTGCTGGGCCCAATCGCCTACGAGATCTGTGGCCCCTCGGGTGCCACACAGGCCATCGGCTTTCTGCTTGGCCTCAGCTCCATTCCGCTGACAGTGGGCCCTCCGGTGGCGGGCATGATCTTCGACAGCACGAACTCCTACACATTGCCGCTGATCCTCGCTGGACTGCCCCCGCTGCTCGGCTCCTCGCTTTTATTCCTCATTAAATGCGTCAAGGAGGAGGAGAACGGGGTCAGTGCACCGCGAGCGGTGGTCCTGGCCAATGGAGACATCGAGATTGCCGGCAACGGCCATTATCGGTCTGCTGGTAAGTTTTTGATCCTTTACGTTTGAGAGAAATTAAAATTGTTAGCGGCTTACTGATTTTATAATGCACTTGATTTGTACATTCTTTACAGGCACCAAGTCCAGTGCACCGCTGATGGGTGCCACCAAAGGTGTCAATGGAACCGCAACAGCATCCCCAACTATCCAGAGCAATGGACACGTGGACAACGGAACTGGTTCGTACCCCGACTCACCTTGGCCTAGCCCCACTCGCATCTCAGACTCCGCCGCCTGCGACCACACTAACCCGGGCACTCTGCTGCCCAGCTGCTCACACACCGCCCTGCTGTGCGGGACTCCTGGCGCTAGCAAGTCCCTGCCCCTGAGCGACGACCCCAAGAGGCGTCGCTATAGCTACTCCATCTACTAACCCACTCACTGCCTAGTTGCTAGCTGCTAGAGCTTCTCTGCTTGCTGCCTGTTGTACTCTGCCTTCCTGGTGTGGATCGAGTTTGTAATCGAATAGCATGACTAAGACGCACTTCTGTCCACTCCACATTCCGAGCACCTTGTTTCTAACCCTGCACCTGCATCCCTTGCACCCCCAGCACCCCAACACCCCTAAGCCCATTCCCATAGTACCCAATTGCTTTGTAGATCGTAAGCCTCATCGACTTGGACCCGCTGTAAATAAATGCTAGCTTATGTCGCATACTGTTTGCTGAGTGTTTCGGAGTCATCGCATGGCCAGGCTCGAATCGTTCCACCAGAAAACCCGCTCAACTCTATTATCCTGTACATCTTTCAGGGAAACTCGCCGTGACCAACGGATCGGCGTCGTAGGGAGGCACAGTCGTCGCACTAACTCAAAATTCCACAAAACTTTCGAAACAAATTGAAAAGTTCTGCCATTTTCCGCTGTAATCTCGTCGTCGGAGCCCACAGCTTAGCAAGCGCAAAGTCGAGGTGTTCATTCTTTATAGAGACCATATCTACCGCACATGTTTCCAAGCATATGCCTTCATCAGATCGGTTGAGAGGCCTTTGCGCTTTCCTATCCTTCATACGTGCATAATATACCTAGGCTAAGAACAATTTGAAAACCAAATGAAAGTAATATTTTAAATTTGAATAAATAATACACAGAATAGGAGTCCGTTAAGTTTTATTTGTTCGGTTAACTCCGTGTTAAGAAACATATTGAAGCAAGTACTCTATCGATGAAGTCAAGAATGCAGATCTCGTTCCGGGCACTGATTTACCACAATATTAAAATATTGGGTTACTTTTTAAACTCGCTTCGCTTCCGACGGGGTATCTAATAGTCGAGCCACTCGACCATAGCGTTTTATGTTATTTTTAAGTTGTATTTATTATCAAATGTATTTCGCTTTTTTCGAAAACTCGTCGATTTTCTAAAACTTCGACTATTTGAACGCTTTTTCGTTAAAAAAAAGTTAGCTTGTTGCTTCAGTGAATTCGTTCTTTAAATCAAAATTGTTTTCGGATCGCACAAGTTTTCTGTTTATACAAAAAACATGCACAGTTTCTACATGCACAGAAAATGCATACTAATTTTATATTTTAACGCGATCGAAGAGAGATCAAGTTTTGCCGCCATTAAAAAGTATCTACAAAAAGTTACGCATCTTGTTTTTCTAATGCAATGGAATTAACCCTACCATAATCAAATATTTGTGTCATCGCACTTTACCACCTGAGATTGTTCGGTGGTTGTTTTGTACAACGCAATTATTAGCGCCCCCCCCTGATTGGAATCGATCAGTGACGTAGTGCATCGTGGTTGGCCAATTCGTATGCCCAATTCTTGAAGCGTGCGGAGCATGTCACGACTGGCTATTAGTCAAATTTATAGCTATTTGTATGCGCAACCCCCCATGTCGAGTCCTAATAAAAAACGGCGCGCTATGTGCGGTTCAATGGGTCTCCACCCGTAGCCCCGTGGCCTCTTCTCTCCTGGGAGGAGGAGAGTCAACCAGGTCGATTGCTGAGCTCTACGCGTGACAACAAATCGATCGATGGAGTCCCAAACCTGTCAACACGTCCGGATATAAAAAGTCGATTGACTGAAAATTGGCTAATCAAACTGTTCGCGCACTTCAAACCGATCGGTCGAAAATTGTTAGGAAACGGATTATATTATTGGATATCGTATATTGCCTAAGGATTAATCATGCTGACCTGGACCCTGTGGTGTGGATTGCTGTTCCTGCTCTGGTTCTACTTTCTGTGGAGCAGGCGCAGATTTTATCTGCTCACGCTCAAGATACCGGGACCACTTGGATATCCCATTCTGGGCATGGCTCACTGGCTGATGCGCAGGGAAGGTGCCATAGATGGGATTATTGTGTTGGTCGGGAGTAATAATATTAGTGTCCGTGCGCAGATATCCTGAATGCATTCGGCTGCTTTCTGGACAAGCACGGTCCGACCATCTACTCCTGGCTGGGGCCCATTCCCTTCATGATTGTCAGTGACCCCCAAGTGGTGCAGGATATCTTCACATCGCCGCACTGCGTCAACAAGGGTATTATCTACAAGGCGGTGGACGATGGAGTCGGACTTGGATTATTCAGCTTGAAGGGTGTGTGTCCATGGAATTGAGTGTGTCAGTTACTTAATTGTGGATTTGTGTAGATCCCCGGTGGAGCATCCATCGAAAGCTGCTGAATCCCGCCTTTGGCCACAAGGTTCTACTCAGTTTCCTGCCCATTTTCAACCGAGAGACGGCCCTTCTGCTGAACCAGCTGGAGCCATTAAAGGACGACGGAGAGAAGGATCTCATTCCACTGCTGCAGAGCTTCACCCTGGGAATAGCCACCCGTGAGTAAAGAAGAATGTTGTTTGATTTGTAGAAAACTCATAAGTTGTTGCTGTCACGTTTATAGTTTGCTTATAAACATTACCAAAAATGAATGCCACTTCTTGCTCTCACTTGCTACATTTCCGCTGCAGCGTTTCTAGCATTATTCAAATTCGATTTGATTAAAAACATTCTACTATTTCATATGAAATCAGAAACCACCATGGGCAGCGATGTGAAGGACGAGGATAACTTCAGGAGCAATTCCTTACTGGGGCGATATCAATGGTGAGTGTTGAGTCGGAATCGGATGGCATCTATCCATTAATAGCATCCTGGAAACCATGACAGATATGTGCTTCTCCCCGTGGCTCAATAGCCGATTTTTCCGCCAGCTGGCTGGAATAGAATCTCACTACTACCAGGCCAAAACTGAAATTCGCCACTTCATTCGGAAGGTGAGGACTACCAGCCATTCCCTCCACTAATTCAGTTATTAATCTCTTAACCCCTTCAGATAATTGAAAGGAAGTTGGCCGCGGACGAAATGGGAACGTTACCCGCCATCCAATCCAATGATAAGAACATATTTCTTAACCTGGCCACAGATTTGATGAGACGAGGAGCGTTTACCCTGAAAAATGTTGAGGACGAGTCAAACATAATCGTTTTTGGAGCATTTGAGACCACCGCTAATGCAGTGTACTACACCCTGATGTTGCTGGCGATGTTTCCCGAATATCAGGAGAGGGCCTTTGAGGAAATAAAAACGATATTCCCCAACACCGGAGACTTTGATGTGTCCTACGCGGAAACCCAGCAGATGGTGTACCTGGATCTGATCCTCAACGAATCAATGCGAGTGATACCCCCGGTTCCAGTTGTATCCCGCCAAACGTCGCAGGACCTGAAGCTGTCCAACGGCATAGTGGTTCCTAAAGGGATCCAGATCGCCATCGACATTTATCACATGCACAGAAGCAAAAAGATCTGGGGCCCAGATGCAGAAACGTTCAACCCAGATCATTTTTTGCCCCACAATATCCAGGACAAACATCCGTACGCCTATATACCCTTCACCAAGGGAATTAGAAATTGCATAGGTAAGCGATTGTACATGGCATTTGTTTGACTATATAATTATTATTACATTTTTATTAGGTTGGAGATATGCCTTGATATCGGCTAAAGTTACATTAGCCAAGTTATTGAGGAATTATAGGTTTAGAACGAGTTTTCCGTTCGAAGATCTTTACTTCGTTGAAGATATAACCATGAAGTTAAAATCTGTGCCGCTGTTGGAGCTCCAAAAGAGAAATTAAATGTTTATAGAACTAAGTGATTTTAAATAGATTAATAAAAGTTGTTGAAAGAATGCGTTCTGTGAATTAAACCAATATTTAAAAGGATTTTCCTAATTTAGCTAATAACATTTCCTATCTGTTTTATTGATTTTTCTTTGAATTTACATTGAGTGGTCCATTTGGTCCATTTTTTAAAATTATAATGTGGTCCGTGCTGACTTCTATAGATAAAAGGTTTGAAAAAAAATTGTTCTACTTTTTTTCCAATATTGTTAAACGCGATTTTCGTGTTTCATTAATTCGAATTCAAAAAATACTAGAAAAAATACTGTGCGGATTTCCGAAAACGACGATCACACTATCACATTGCATCAAAAGTCGGGCACACGAATTGAAGCATAAACAAACGATGTTGCTCACCGATGTCTTGGAATTGAACAAAACGGAGCTGTTCGCAAAGATCCGCGATGGGTTGCCCGTGGTGCAAAGAACGCAGAACTTGCTGGACTGCAAGGACGACCTGCTGTTTGCCTGGGACGCGAAAGATAGCTGCCTGCTCGTGCGCAACTGGCGGTCATCGCTGGCGGCAGAGGTGAAAGTCAAGTTTCAGACACTGATTCCTTCGAGCTTGGTCACCATCGAGGTGGACCACGTGCTGGCCTCCAACGAGGGCTCCCTAGTGGCACTCAGTGGACAGCGCGGCGTTACCATCATGGAGTTGCCCCGACGCTGGGGTCCCGATGGATGCTACAAAGACGCCAAGCCCATGATCACCTGCCGCACGTTCGGCCTGGACACCCAGCTTTTCCTCAACAACCCGCTACTAGAAGTGCGCCAGGTCCGCTGGCATCCGCACTCCGTGTCGGACTCCACGCTGCTCGTACTGCTCAACAACAACACAATTCGAGTGTACAATCACTCCAAGTTGCGCTACGTGTGGCAGGTGGGTCCATCGGTGCTTCGAAGTGGAGCCAATAACTCGCTCTGCGACTTCGGCGAGGTAGCCGTAGACTTTGACATCGCTCCTGCTGTAAAGCCACGTGACACTGAATCAGAAACAGCCGGGAAGAACGAAACCACTCTGGATAAGAGCAACATAACCCTTATAGCGACTAAATCGCTGCCAAAGCAGGAGAGGATAGAGTGGCCCATGGTTGTGCTCCGCGAGAATGGAAATATATACATATTAATGACCGGCCTGGACTCGGAGAAAACCCGCTTGCAGGGCCCCATCACCATAACGCCCCAGGCGCATGACAATTATGGTCTGGAGTCTTGTTCTCTCATGATTATCCCGTCGCTTCCGCCGACCATGGTTATAGCTGAGTCTAACGGAAAGCTTCACCATGCTCTGCTAATGGAGGCGGAGGCTACTGAGCATTCGTTCAACGAGGTTGACGAGTTTGTGTTAATTGAACCCGCCGAATACGTTGTACATGTACTAGAAACTGTGGAACTTGAGTTGGGAATAGCATCCGGTACTGGAGAAGGAGCAGAAGTCTACCACTGTCCCATATATTTAAAACGGGATCTGATCAATGAGC